GGGAGTAGCGGCCCCTCCGGAGCGAGGAACGGGGTAGAGGCAACGGGGGACCGGGGATTAAAACATCCGAAAAGGTCGTTGATATCGTTGATACTAACTTCACCACTCCGGTGAGTGCAGGCTTCTGTGCTTCAAGTAATGTCAGTAATTCTCTTACAAGGTACCTAGGAGTGATGCCAGCTTACAGTGCTGTAGATGATGCTCTGACAACAAAGTTGGTGACTTTTTATGAGCACAAGAAGGATTCTTCTGTCCCTTCTCACCAAGCAACTGTCCTGTTATTTGACCCAAGAAATGGCACTTTAAAAGCTGTGAGTTTCATGCGTGCTTCTGTGTTTTCCTCCATTCATGTTCTGTCAGTTGTCCCTTCTGATTGTTAGAAGCTGGTGATGGTCTTAGTCGGTGTGTTTACCAGCAGCATCAATGAAAAGGTGTTTATGCCAATTTAAGATTTGGCCTAAAGCATTCTGTCTTTCATACATGTTAAATGATGCTCTCTCTGCTATTTACTGCTGCTTGTGATTTGAAGGGAATCTAGTATGTTGTCTCACAGAATGACCAGAGGAAAGAAATGATCAGGAAAAGTCTACCTTGCATTTGAAAGGGAAAAAAACAAACCTTTGCTGAATAAATAAGTGATTTTAAACAATCTTAAGTTAAGTCTGAGGAGAGTTATTATTGGTATAACAGGGAGTAGTGTTTAGGCTGATTGTCTGCTTGTTTGTTTTAAAAATTAAAGAATATTTACAATTTTCATTACAATTTAGTAATAATAGTTATTAAATGGCCAAAACTGATATGGAAAACTATATTGGGTTTTTATTCCTAAACTGTATCAGAATACATATCATCTTGTTAAACCCCTTTTGTGGTTTAACCTGGCAGGCAGATAAAACAACCCCTGAGCTCACTGCCCTGCCCCAGTGAAATGGGGGAGAGAGTAATTAAAAAAAAAGGTTGAGATAAAAACAGTTTAACAGGTCAGAAAAGGAAGATAATAATGATAAAAGAATGTGAAAACCAAGTGATGCACAGTGCCATTGCTCATCACTGACTGATGCACAGCTAGTTCCTGAGCTATGTTGTCCCCCTGGCAATTCTGTCCCCTGTTCTTCTCCCCCGGTTTATATACTGAGCATGACGTCCTGTGGTGTGGAATATCCCTTTGGCCAGTCTGGATCAGCTGTCCTGGCTGTGCCTCCTCCCAGCTTCTTACTGGCTGGGCATGAGAAGCTGAGAAGTCCTTGACTCATGTAAGCACTACTTAGGAATAACTAAAACATCAGTGTGTTATCAAGGTTGTTCTCATACTAAGTCCAAAACACAGCACTGTGCCAGCTACTAGAAAGAAAATTACCTCTATTCCAGCCAAAGCCAGGACAGCTCATTAATTAATTTGTACACAGTAGCTAATACACATTGAGGCAGGAGTGCTCCCCTGCGTGATGTGAGTTAAAAAAATTCAATGGTTCCTGGTCACCCCTTTGTAGGGGCCAAGACAGCACAGACTTGTGAGCCCCTGCCAGCCTGCACTGGTCCCTGGTCTTACTGGAGTGCAGGTCTGTTCCCTGCTCTGCAATGGAAAGCAAGGGAAGTGCAGTGCACTAAGAGCTGTGTGGGTTAGGGGTGTCTCAGCTCTGATCAGTTTTCACTCCATTTGTGCTGATGGAATTACATGGAAGAACTGGAATAGGCAGAGAATCTGCTCAGTTTAAATGAGTGATTGTGTATGTTTTGTGGTTGCTATGATGGAAATTGCCAACTTTTGTGTTTTTACCTGTGCCAGTAATAGCACGTAATTCACAAATCAGATGATGTTTGGTATCCACTTATATTTTCAGTGTTCATTTCAGACTGTTTGAACTTTTTTTAAAAGGTCATAGATGGCAGTGTCATTACAGCAAAACGAACAGCTGCAGTTTCTGCAATTGCTACCAAGGTATGTGTTCTCTTTCCTAAATCAGGGCAGAATCTGTTATATAAAAAAATAACCAGGGGGAATTATGTAAGTGGCTTTCAGTGCATGTAAATTTTCATCAAATGTAGCTTTAAATTAGATTTATGTTAACATATGTGTCTTCAGAAAAAAACTTGACAGCACAATTCTCTGTTTTAATTGGGTGAGTCATGTCTGGCTTTAACACTTTGTGCGTGATTAGAGAGGAACCGGAGGTGTGTTTTTGTGGTTTGTCTGCATCCCCTTCTGGGAATTTACTGAGGTGTCTTCCTCTGTGATTTTCTTTCTGAAAACTGGTGAGGTGTATCTTGCTGTATGTTGCTTTGCATCATTCCAATTTCAGTTGGAAGTTGTTGAATTCTTTTTTAAACAGTAAGAAGAGGGTCAGAGCTCTGTTTTTGACCCATCAGCTTTGTATCAGACTGAAGGCTCATCTCACCACTTGTGTAGTGGCAGTCTTCGTGCCAGCAGGAGTCTGTCCATGGCAATAGAGCTAAACTGACATTAAATTGGAGTGAAGAACCTGTCCCCAAGAGCTTCCCCTGGTCTAAGGGACAAAACAACTTACAAAGAATTCCTTGGACATGAGGTTATAGGACCATTCATCTCAGCTATTCTTTACTGAGGCAGTTCTGACCATTTTTACATAGTCAAGGCTCTGCTGGCCTCAAAGGAGCTTGGCTGTGGAAGGGACTTCAAGATCAGATCCTTCATTGTCATCTGCTGTTTTGGGAAATCTTCAGGAGTGTTTGAGTTTAGCTCATAGTTGTCATCTTGTCCTCTTTATGGCATTTGCTTTTCAAAGACCTGTGTTTTTATGCAAGAGTCTTTGAAATCAGTGCTTCAGTGTCTTTGAAAGGAACATTGCTACTGAAAAATGGGATCAATGAGATTTTTTTCAATCTGTTTGCAGAAAAATAAGCATTGAGAGCCTAGACAATTCTAAAGCTTTTTATACAGAAATTAGTGGCCTCAGCAAATGCATAAACAAGACACCAGGATAGCTTTGGGCTGCACTCCAGCAGCCCTCTCATTGCCTTTGCCAAGTACTAGTGAATCACAGGCAAGAACTAAACTAGAAAACCAAAAGCAATCAGAATAGAATTTTAATATTAATTCCTCAAGACTATTCCTATTCTTACAATACCTGATGCATGCATATCTTGGCTTTTACAATGTCAAGGTCTGTTTGTGGAATGATTTATGACTTCAGTGAATTGAAAACAAGGCTTAGTTTGAGGGCACCAAAACCTGTTTTCCCACACAGCTACCACTTTCAGTACTGATAGTTTTTGGTATTGTGAGCCTTTTCCTGCCAGTGCAGAACATCAACACTGTGGTTTTACACTTAGTCACCTATTTGTAATACATAAAGCTAATATTGGAGTGTGCTGAGGCCCCAGAATTTGCATTGGCTCACGCTGTTCCATGTTAAGCTTCAATTTCAAAAACTGGTGAAGGCAAAACAGGAATCAAGTTAAGATGTACTTCAGTGCTATTGACACTAGCTTTTTCA